AGAGCCTTATGGGATGGAAATGATTCTTCCAGGTATTAGTCAGACCCTCAGGTGTTACCAGGGAAACAGAGTTATGGCTTGTAAAAAAACTATTAAAAAAAATAAATTAAAATAATTATGTTTTTTCTTTGTCAAGTGACCATGGTGTAAGTGGGTTAACTCCTGACGGGGTGTCCATAACCAGGAATTAACTGTATCCAGTTACTTTCACAACAGTTCATTATTCAGTATCAGAGTGAATTCAGTTCTGTTTTACAGTAACTCATTTTAGACATTGAATGATGCAGGAAGAAGTCTCATGCTGCTTGTGAAGTTGTTTCGTTGGCACTGTGGAGAGAGTGTCAGTCAGACTGCTACTGTGATCACACCAGGAGGGGAAAACGTTTTTTATGAAGTGATATGATCTCAGAAGAATGTCCTTATTAAAGTCTCTTTCATTATTTTACTTTGTATTAAATTGGTTTTATTTTGTGCGTAAGAGATGATTCTTGTTTCAGCCTCTGCGGTCTAAGTTAACCTGACATCAGTTAGTTCACACTGTCGTCTAGAAAGTGAAGCCGAAATGTTTCAGGTCTGTGGTCTGTCTTATACACAGTGTTACCACACATGCGGCAAAACCTGGTAATTTAGAGACTAGATTTTAAGTCATGAAAACACCTTGAAAATAAATTTTAAATGGATTTAAAATGATCAAATATCCTAGGAATAATATATTTTAGCCCCTCACTCGGATGACCTACGTGAACCTGGGGGTGTATTTAGTTTGAAACTCGATTGTTGATGGACACTTCGAACAGTGATGTTAATTGTGAGTGCAATGAACACTTGAATTTTCTGTAAAATGAAATAAATTCTACTTGATTTGAGTTGTTACTTATGGGCCAAATTAATGAAGTCAATTCGCCTGAAACCATTGCTTATATTGTAAGTAAGTGCTGTCCTGTGTTGCCAAGAAAAACTCATCTACAAAGATGGGAACTTTCTGAGTTCGGACTCACATAAAGGACACAGCAGGAGGACAATTGAGGTTCTGATGACTTCAACAATAAAACATGATCAGTAGAATAAAATGATTTAAAACTGTTGGAACGTAAAGTGTAGTCTTTGTCTTTACCCATGATGCCTTGCTGTCCATGCAGAAGCTGGAGGAGCAGATCTTGGAGCTACCAGCGTTCTGTATGGTGGGTTCGGTGGTCTTTGACACCGAGCAGCTGCGGCTGGCGCTCACTCAAGAGTGTCGCCTCTGGAAACGAGCTTTCGGTGCGGCGCTCAATCGCCGGGCGTCCGCCGACATGGACGACATCTTCTTGTTCATGGACGGGCTGACGAAGCGTCTGCAGCGTCCAATCACAGACCTGGAGGATGTCCGAGGAGCCATGGCAGCGCTCAGAGAGGTCAGCTTGCTTCTGATTGGCTGCTCTCCGTCTGACATCACCAATTCATTCAATCGCTTATCGATCAGTTAATAAAAAGCTTTACATATTTATTCATTTATTATTATATTAATCTGTTATTTCAATCAATTCATCATTTATTCTTTCTCTTTTTGCTTGTCAGTTAATTTGGTAATTCTTAATAAATTATCATACTCATTCATTCACAATTATTCATCCATTCATTCATTTTTTTGTTGCAGAAGCTCAATTATTCAGTCTTACATGCATTTGTTTAATATATACAAGTTTATCATTTATTCAATTAATATACTCAGTAATGTAATTATTTATTTTTATACATATTTAATTATTTTTTTTTTACAGCTAATATACTGTTCTGTAAAGGTTCCTTTTTTACCGTTTTCCTTTCCTTTCCGTTTATTTCTGTTGACGTTTATTCTCTCATTTATTCATCACCTCTTCGCTGTTTTCCTGTTTGAGGTTCGGGAGGCGGAGGTTCGTATCGACGCCACCATCGGTCCGGTGGAGGAATCCTTCGCTCTGCTCAACAAACATGAACTGTTCTTCAATGATGGGAATGCAGAGCGTGTGGACGGCCTGACGTACGCCTGGAAAAACCTCAACGCCTTGGTGAGACGGAGGGAGGGATGTTCATGTTTTAACCTTCTTCCACACTGGAAGAGAGCAGGATGGTGCTCTGGTTCTCATCGATCATCAGCTTTTGTTACTAACTGCCAACAGGGCAGTGGGGAAAAACAGTTTATGCTTTTATTTACAGTAAGTACAGGTGTGTTGTGGTTTCAGGTGGTGCAAAACCAGAACACTCTTGTAAAGATCCAACCCAGCATGAAGGCAGACCTGTTGTCTGCAGTGCAGAGCTTCCAGAGCCAAGTTGAAAGCTTCTACACCGAGTACAACCACAGGTACACAAACATCAGGGGTGAACACTGTGTTTACTATGTGCAGAGAAGTCAAATGCGTGTGTTTGCAGGGGTCCGGGGATGGAGGGTGTGGCTCCAGCTGAAGCCAGTGAGCGGCTGCAGAGCTTTCAGGCTGAGTTTGATCAGCTGTGGAGGAAATACACCACCTACTCTGGAGGAGAGGAGCTGTTCGGACTGCCTGTCAATGGTACGACCCACTTACAGCCTGTACTCTTTACCGCTTTCCCTTCCGTCCTTCCTTCCTAACATCCCTCTCTCTTGCCTGCAGAGTACCCAGAGCTGCAGAGGATCAAGAGGGAGCTCTCTCTGCTGTCCAAACTATACACCTTGTATAACTCTGTCATCGACAGCGTCACCGGCTACTACGACATCCTGTGGGCCGACCTCAACATCGAGAAGATCAACACAGAGCTGCAGGACTTCCAGAACAGGTGTGACCGGAAGTGGTTTCTAAATATACTAAAATACTATTGTATTTCCTGCAATATTTATTATCAGCCTGCTATGCAGTTACGTTCATGAATGTAGCTCATGCATACATCCATAAACAGTTACAAGTTAAAATATGATGGTGAGATAGTTAGTGGAGGTAAAGTAAATGGTTAAAAAATGCTGCAATCGTGGCTCCAAACAGGAACTATTAGGAAGAGAAATGAGAAACAGGAGGACCCATTGTCCACCAAACTAGCTCTGGTTCTCCTGTTCAGGATTCAACAACAGTCAACAATAAATAATCTTATCAGGAATCAAGCTGCCTCCTGTGTAAACTGTCAACTAGTTGAATAGGTAAGGTATAATGTTTTTATGTTATGTATTGTAAGGTTTTAGTCATCAGTGTCAGTGCTAGAGCGAGGAATCCATTTTAATAACATAATTTAAAAGCAAGTCTGTCCATTTTTTAAATAAAAAGAGGAGTGTAGTTTTATCACTCCATCTGTCTGAGTTTTCAGGATCCGAAAGCTTCCAAAGGCGTTGAAGGAGTGGCAGGCCTTCAGAGACCTGAAGAAAACCATCGATGACTTCACTGAGACCTGCCCCCTGCTCTACATGATGGCCAACAAGGTAGAAAGACCTGTCTGTCTGTCTGACGTAATCGTAGTCTTTTTCATCACAGTTAAGTGACAGAATTTTACTGTACAAAAATCTGCTTGCTGCATCCTTCAGGCCATGCTGCCTCGACACTGGACTCGCCTCAGTGAGATGACCGGTCACAGTTTCCAGGTGGAATCAGAGAGTTTCTCCCTCAGGAACATCATGGAGGTGCCGCTGCTCAAATACAAAGAAGACATTGAGGTAATCTTTTTTCTGAATTCTGTCACAACTGTCAAATTAAAGCTAATACAACAGGGAGTATCCATCATAACTAAACTAAACAAACTCCCTTTAAAGGTCCAGTGTGTAGGATTTGGTAGCATCTAGTGGTGTAGTTGCTTTCCAAGCGTGACGTAGAAACTACAGTCACTGCGAAACACACAAATAAACACAAATGCTCCTATCTAGAGCCATTGTTTGTCCATTCTGGGCCACTGTAGAAACATGACGGGTCAACATGGCAGCCTCCATGGAAGAGGACCCGCTCCCCTTGTAGTTAAAAACAGCTCATTCTAAGGTAATGAAAACACATAAACAGTATTTATATTCAGGAGATTATACACTAATGAAAACATAGCAATGAATATTATATTTGATTTCTGCAAATAGATCATCTTAAATGTTACACACTGGTCCTTTAAAGCCTTAACTACTGAATTATCAGTACAATATTAGGCAAGTCCGTTCCAGTGCACCTGCAGGAGCGAGCATGCCACTGTTCATTACATCAGCTACTTCAGTTACCGCCTGACAATTAGTCATTCGGCAGGGCAATTAAACAGATAATTAGAGACTTAATCAGTCAGCAGTGAGGGAGCTGCTCAGTCTGTCAGGCAACATTTAATATTCATAATATCCCCGTTGGTTAGATTTCAATTTGTGACCACTGTTCCTCTTTGTCTCAACTTTTAAGACTTTTTAGTTCCTGCCATATTAAATAATTTTGCAGCTCTTTCGATTGGGTGCAGCTGCACTTTGGGAACAGATTACTTGAGATGTCAACATGAGGCAAAAATAGAGCCCTGCTGTCTCATGTTGCTTTGAAAACTCACATTTAGAGCACTGATTGCCAGACCTCTTTTATAACTGACAAAAACCGTGATTTAGTTAGTTTTTCCATGAGGCGTTTCAAGCATCTGTCATCAGTTGAACCGTCTCATCATTTCATCACTCAGCCGGTCCACAAGGGAAGGGTTTCATTCCTAAATTTAATATCTGTTTAAAAACTGCAA